AAGCAGAAATCAGAGATCTTTGGAGCATTCAAGAAATTCAAAGCCGCCGTAGAAAAGGAGAGTGGTTGCAAGATTAAAGCCATGAGATCTGATCGAGGAGGAGAATTCACTTCGAAGGAATTTCAAGAATAATGGAATTTTTCGACCTTTGACAGTTCCAAGATCCCCTCAACAAAATGGTGTGGCGGAAAGAAAAAATCGAACCATCCTTGACATGGCTCGAAGCATGCTCAAAAGTAAGAGATTGCATAAGGAGCTGTGGGCAGAAGCTGTAGCATGTGCTGTTTACCTATCCAATCGGTCTCCAACAAGAAGTGTGTGGGGAAAGACTCCGCAAGAAGCATGGAGTGGAAGAAAACCAGGTATCTCTCATCTAAGAGTTTTTGGAAGCATAGCCTATGTACATGTACCAGACGAGAGGAGAACCAAACTTGACGATAAAAGTGAAAAGTTCATCTTTATCGGCTATGACTCAAATTCAAAAGGCTATAAGCTGTATAATCTAAACAATGGGAAGACGGTGATCAGTCGAGACGTGACATTCGATGAAGAAGAAGAATGAGATTTTGGCTCTTATGCAGGTGATCTTAACTTCTTTCCTCAGTTTGAATAAGAGAATGACTAAGGGATGATGGAGCAAGCAAGAGAGGTTCAACGAGAATCCACTACTCCACCTGCTTCACCAACATCAACCAATCATGGTAATTCACTAGCATTAGCATCATCAAGTGGGAGTCTAAATGAAAGAGAAGTACCACGCATAAGAAGTCTACGAGATCTCTATGAGGTAGCTGAAAGACTTGATAATCCTATACTTTTTTGTCTCTTTGGTGATTGTGAACCTGTTGACTTCCAAGAAGCAGTGCAAGATACTAAGTGGAGGAAAGCAATGGATGAAGAAATTGAAGCAATCCAGAAGAACGATACATGGGAACTCGCTATTCTTCCGAAAGGACACAAAGCAATCAGAGTCAAGTGGGTGTATACGACAAAGAAGAATGCCAACGGTGAGGTCGAAAGATACAAGGCGAGATTAGTGGTGAAGGGCTATAGTCAAAGAGCCGGAATCGACTATGATGAGGTATTTGGACCCGTTGCTCAGTTGAAAACTATACGATTACTAATTTCTTTGGCAGCTAAAAACAAATGGAAGATTCAACAATGGATGTGAAGTCTGCTTTCCTAAATGGAGTCCTTGAAGAAGAAGTCTATATTCAGCAACCGACAGGCTATGAAATCAAAGGGTATGAAGACAAAGTTTTGAAGTTGAAGAAAGCCCTCTATGGGTTAAAACAAAAGCCACGAGCATGGAATACTCGCATCGACAAGTACTTTCAGGAGAACAACTTCATCAAGTGCCCTTATGAACATGCTCTCTACATCAAAGTCAAAGATGGAGATATTCTAATTGTGTGCTTATATGTGGATGATCTAATTTTCACCGGAAGTAATCCAAGCATGTTTGAAGAGTTGAAGAGAGTGATGACCAAAGAATTCGAGATGACGGACATCGAGTTGATGGCATACTACCTAGGCATTGAAGTCAAGCAGAACAAAGAATGCATTTTCATCTCCCAAGAAAGCTACACAAAGGAGATACTGAAAAAGTTCAAAATGGAAGACTGCAAGCCTATAAGCACGCCAATGGAGTGCGGAGTTAAACTAACCAAGCATGATGAAGGAGAAAGTGTAGATCCAATATTTTTCAAGAGTTTAGTTGGAAGCTTATGTTACTTGACATGCACAAGACTAGACATTCTCTATGCCATCGGATTAGTCAGTCGCTACATGGAGAATCCCACAACTACACATTTGAAGACAGCCAAAAGAATTCTTCGATACTTCGATACCTTAAAGGTACTGTTAACTTTGGCTTGTTTTATTCAAGTTCTAATAACTACAAACTTGTTGGATATAGCGACAGTGATTGGGCAAAAGATTCTGACGATAGAAAAAACACCACCGGATTTGTGTTCTTCATGGGAGACACTGCATTCACATGGATGTCGAAGAAGCAACCGATTGTCACTCTATCTACCTGTGAAGCTGAATATGTAGCTGCTACCTCATGTGTCTGTCATGCAATCTGGCTGAGAAACTTGCTGAAAGAATTAAACATGCCACAAGAAGAGAGAACAAAGATCTATGTCGACAACAAGTCTGCAATAGCTCTAGCAAATAATCTAGTATTCCATGACAAGAGCAAACACATAGATACCCGCTATCATCACATAAGAGAGTGTATTGCAAGAAAGGATGTGAAAGTGGAATACGTGAAGTCTCAAGACCAAATCGCCGACATATTCACCAAACCACTCAAACAAGAAGACTTTGTTAGATTGAGGAAATCAATCGGCGTCACAAGACAAGATTAAGGGGGGATGTTGAAATGTAATCTTGTCTTGGCCCAAGACAATTGATCCGGCCCATACACAAAGAAAGATCCATGCACATGCTAGAGAATTCTAGCAAAGTTCAAGTTGGTGGAAGAGTCTAGAAGAATGGTGAGGATTCCACCAACATACAAGATTAGTGTAGATAATTCTAGCATAGGAAGGTAGTGGAATTATCTAGATATATCTGGCATGATGTTTCCATCATTCTCCAAGGTTCCATCCATGCCTATAAAAAGAGAAGGCATCCACACCATTTGTAACAACCAAGAGAGCAAGAAGTGAGAAAAGAGTGAAGAAGTGTAAGAGTGTTTGATTGTTTCCTCTTGTACTAGTTTGTGAGTGAATAAAAAATTTTGTGTAAAAACTTTAAGTGTTCTTTCTTTATCTTGCTTATCAATTCCGCTGCATTACATTTTTCTTTGTGAGATAAACATCTCCAAAATAGTGAAGTCTTTTTAAGCCACAACAGAAGATACCCACAAACTCCACGCCAATCTGTACGTAGTATATAAGTTATAAATTGACATGCATGCATGATGCATATAAAAGTTGCTGTCTATTAATTAGCGATTTATTAGGACTAATATATATATATATATATATATATATATATATAAAATTAGTTAACCAAAATTATATGCGCTTAATTTGATTTAAAAAACAAAATGTAATTTTGTTGCTGTGTTAATTTGAGGTACCTTCCGGAGAAGAGTGACATGGGAAGCATGGAAGCTCGACAACCATTTGGTTCCCGTCATTAAGGAAGATGAATGAAGGAAGAGAAGTTGTACCAGTATACTTTGGAATTTGTTTATATACAGATTGTAAAAATGTAGAAGCTGAATCAATCGAGGAAAGAAAGGAATTACTGGCGTGCGTATATGCCCGAGCTTGCCGTAGCATGCATAACATGGAAAGTCAAACACACAACGCCTCTTAGGGCTCACATTCCCATTTAATTGTTTACAAATCAATATTACAACTTGGTACTATTATATAGCTAACAACTTCTATACTAATTATTTCAATTGGCAACTAGTTTGGCCAAGTTGTCCTTTGCTTATTCTCACACGTCTTATCCTCAAATTTGTGAGTATTCGGCAAATAATTTAGTTAGGGTAATGTTAGGGACACTAAATTTGTAGACTAAGTTTTGGAAATTAAAGGACATGGAAGTTGACGATTAATTTATTACTTAAACGTTGATAAACGTGATTTCCTATTGGTGACATATAATTTAGTTTGCAAGTTTAGTCTCTCTAGCATTACTTATTTAGTTAAGTTGACATTTTACGTTTTGTTGAAGTGTCTTTGGATTGAGGATCTCTTGGATATTATTTAGAATGTCCTTTTTAATATTTGTAATAGGTTTTTAATAGAATTGCTATTGTTTTGTTAATATATATATATATATATATATATATATATATATATTGCTAACAACTACACAATAAGGTGAGCATTGATATCACTCAGTACTATGGTCTGATGGTATTCCTCTTCACTTGGAAATAAGAGGTCTTAGGTTTGAATCTTATGGATGACGAATTCGATATCAAATTAGGCTGCCCATTGTGTGGCTTTGTCGAACTCCCCCTCCTCTTAGTGTAAAAATATTGATGTACTCAGAATAAGGTGAGCATTGACCTTTCACCTCCTATTAATGTTTGTGATAACTCAAACATGTGTCTTTTTACTTAACCCTAGTTAACTTTCACATTAATCCAAATTTTAAACCAAGTGATGTGTCATAAACAGGAAAATAAGTACATTAATCAACACTTAAGTAATCAATCATTATCATTCACATTATTTGGTTTACAAAATTTGGTATCCTAGCATTACTATTGAAATAATAATGCTACTTTTACAACATTTAAACCACCTTATGAGGCTACTTATTTGTTAGTTATTTTGACTTTTATTTATTTATTTTTATTTTTTTGACAAACGATAGAATTAATTAGTGGGTTAAATTGTTTGTTAGGGGGAGAGGGATCAAACATTTAACAAACGATAAAGTTAATGGGTCAAATTATTTGTTAGAGGGGAGGAGGTCAAATCTACACTAGAATGCATAAATATGATTATTTTTCACTACTACAGTAAAACGCTATATGCAAAATTAGAAAAAACGGAAATATCCCAACAAGACTTGAACCTAAGAGATATTAATTGGCTCTATCCACCTGAGCTACACATTCATTTAGGATTTTCACGTTTATTTTTCCACTCTTTCTTTCTTCTCCCTCTCAGTCCTATACTCTTCACTCCTTCCCTTTTCACCTCCTGACAGCCCCTGGTGACGTATGTCCACAGGATTGGCAAAGCATTTGCCCAAAATTGATACTTCTCCAACCCTAAATATATATATATAGAGATTCGTTCTTTTATTTTAAATGATTAATGGGCAGTATACTTTACATAATCAAGGAAGCAACTTCTAAACTAATTAAAATAATTTATCCAATAAATATTTCAATTGGAGTAAAGTCAACTGTTTAGCCTTATAAAATTATATGTTCACAGCAAGTGACCAAGGCTAAATGCATCTATCAGGAGAGTAATGATCCATAACTCATAACTGGAGAGTAATTAAGGTCAACTCTTTGTTTTGAACTAAATAAATATAGACATGACAGGTTCTTCTGGACTTCCAAAGTTGTGCCAACGAATCTCCTGGGTTTCCAAGAAGTTGAAGTCAAACCTGCTAGCACTCCAATGGCTGCCATGAAAGGGTAAGATCATCTCATTTTCTAATCTTCAAGAATAATCAAAACGTACATGACAACAGTTTGAGTTCTGATCTGATTGAAAATATGTTCGTGCTATTTTGTAGGCCTGAAGACGTTGCAAGTGTCGACGTCTATACAGCAAAAGGTCTCCTCAGTATAGGTCACCGTTATCTGGATGTCAGGTGCGAATTCATCTTATTACTAGCTAAAAAAATAAATGAGAGAAGAAACACTTGCTTTTTCTGATCCAAAACTAATAAGAAAATTTTAATATCAATAGGACGATTGAGGAGTTCAACAAGAGCCACGTTGAAAATGCCATGAACATTCCTTTCATGCTCATCACAGAAGAAGGTATATAATGTTTCTTTCAGGATATGAATTTATACATATACACATATACAGAGCCTTTAAAGGAGAGATCCTCATTTTTCTAAAAAAATTGGGGATTAGTTGTGGAGTCCACACTATATTTAACTTCAATGATTTGAACCATCTATTTTCAAGTTACACCTTATAGATCATCTTTGCAAATTATTAGTCAAATCAGAAATATTTGAGGCATCTAATTGAGTTTAAAGAAATTAACGAATAATATGTTTTAAGGAACATTGAAATTTCATAGTGACAATTAAATAGGCAAATGATTTTGGATTGAATTGAATTTTTGTAAGGATGATCTATGAATCGAAACTTATAAAATAAGATGGTTTGAATTGTTAAAGTTCGATGTGGAGTGGATCGTACAACTAGTTTCCATTTTTTCCCTAGAGGGCCTGAAATATATATGTATATTACATTCCAACTCTAACATCTCAGTTAGCATATAATTCTGTTTTCTTTTCTTTCTTGTGATAATAATCTGCAGGTAGAGTGAAAAACCCTGAATTTCTCACCCAAATTTCCTCAACGCTCAAGAAAGAGGATCACTTGGTCGTGGTATTTACTAAAACATCATATCGACAATGCTTAATTTCTCCTTCTTTCTTAACGTCATAAAAACTCTAATCTTATCAGTACGGATTTTTTTGAAATATATTTGAAGGGTTGCAACAGTGGAGGAAGAGCACTTAAAGCTTGTGTTGATCTTCTTAATGAAGTAAGTTTCCAAACTTACAGAGTTCCCTTAATTGCTTGCCATTATTCTGGTTTTTGTTTTTTCATAGTTATAAATTTAAAGGGAAATGTATTACAATGGCAAAATAATTGCAGGGTTTCCAGCATGTGACCAACATGGAAGGAGGCTACTCCTCTTGGGTGGACAGTGGACTTGCCGGTGACAAACCCTCCGACGAGTTGAAAGTCGCTTGCAAGTTCCGCCCTTGAAAATTACGCAAATTAATTTGTTCAGCTTTTCTATTTGTAAAAGCATCTTCAATGAAAGCCTTAAATTAAAGGTGTCAAATTTGTTTTTGGAGGCTTATTTGGATTTTGTCATATTGTCCAACTTTTCACTCCAACCGATCTGTCAAAAATAATAAATATTATTAAAAATATAACTTTAGTTTCTGAAACTTAATTTTCTTCGCATAAAATCTGGCATAAGTCTTTTACCAGAATAAAATATATTGACTAGATTCCACATCAACAAATTCATTAAATATATTTGACTTTACAAATTTAAAAAATTTCGATGCCCAAAACGCCCCTATTTGAATGTTTGATTTACACAATTAATTCCATACAAATTGTAAGGGAGAATTAATGATTTTACAAAAATAAAAAAATAATAAATTCATTGCATAATATATATGATAACAATAAAACATGCCTCATAAATGTAGTAATCATGCGTAGTGAAGTCAATAAAATTATATTTTACATATAAATGTAGGTAAATTATTTCACACACACACACATATATATATGACAACAAAAAAAACATGCTTGATATATATAAAAAATCATGCAATATAATTTTCCTACATAATAAAGCAAACCCAAATATATGCTGTTTATACCATATTAGGGCCTCGTATTTAGATCTCGTATAAATACTTGGAGGACTTAAATGTAATTATATGATAAAGGAAGAGGCAAATATGTAATAAGTGAGAGTCCTTATTCTATAAAAGGACCCCTCACCCTCACAATTGGGGGAGGCCAATTCCAAGGCCCTCTCACCCCCTCTCAAAGCTCTCCCTCTCAGAGCTCTCTCTCTCTTAAATAAATACATAATCAGTGTGGACGTAGCCCAAACCTTGGGGTGAACCACGATACATCTTGTGTTATTTACGTTTCATGCAGATTCACAGTCGGATTTACGTTGTTCCAAGATCTCCGGTCTTGTGCATCAACATTTGGCGCCGTCTGTGGGAATCGATACGAAAACTTGTGTCGGTTCTCTTTCATTTTTTCACCTCCGCCGTGAATCTGCATAAACCCAGGAACCAAAGTCATTGCAAAACCCAAGAGACAACCAAAACTCTCTCTGCCTCTGCCTCTCTCTTGCTTCTGATCTCTTTCACTTTTTCAAACAAAACACCACAACCTCTCTCTTTCTTTCTTTATCTCTCTCTAAAAATCTAGTTTTTCTCTCTCCGAAAAACAAGAAAAAGAAGAAGAAAAGGTAAATCTGAAGCAAGACCAGCTCGTCGATCACGCCGCCTTCCTCTTAAAATGCAATCAGGAAATCTTCGACCCGGGGACTCTGTCGTCCACTCTAGGAACTAGGAAGCTGTGCCCTCCACTCTAGGAACCAGCAAGCCCAGGCTTTCACCAAGCTCCATGGCCCAACTCCCAGCTTGAATGGGCAGGCAAGAAAAGAGCCTCATCGGACCCGGCCAATTTGAGACAAAACTAGCTTAAATGGGCAGGCAAGAAAAGAGCCTCATCTATTCGTTTGATTTACGCAATGTCGGCTCCGGCGCCGTCGACCAGCACGACCTCGCTGCCACCGCCCATAGCTCCGGCTCCTTCTGCGCCTACGTCGCCATCTCCTCCAGCTGCTGGTTGCTATATAAAGACGGCTAGAGATGGTAGAGCATCACTCTTACAGACATAGAGACGACTTTTGATGGTAGAGCCGGAAAACGGCGTCGTCAAACCCAACCCAGCGGCATTTGGTTGCAGATACAGGAACAAAAATGGCCGAGTCTATTGAGAAGGCTTTCTCCATCACCAAATTCACGGTTCGTTTGTAAGGACCGAACCACTTGTTCTGCATATAATGATTCTTCCGCCACGGAGGCACGGAGAGATTCGTACTCCTCAACGATCTCTTTGCCACGTCGCTTGTGATCCGCACGATCCGCTTCAGGCTTGTCAAAACGTTTCCTGGGCTGCAGTACTTGGATGGTTTCCCTCATGTGAAGGTTGTGTTGCGCGCTGATGTGTCCAGTGGGACGTATGACAAAGTTGTGATTATATCAGGCAGTTGCAGTTGCAGCGATGATGGTGGAAGCACAAGGACCGTTATCGATCGAAACGCAGTGGAAGGGGAACGATTCAGTGGGACATAGGAGAATGTCCCCAGTGCAGTTGCCTAAAATCAGTTCAAGAAGACCAGATCGACAGTAGAGAGGAAGAAGATAAGCTTTCTCAATAATCAGTCTATTATTATTCCTTTTGTTTGCCATCTGCCAAAGGAAGGAAAGAAAGAAAGAAAAAACAAAAAAGCAAAAAATAAGACACAGTGGAAAGATAAGAGAATAAAATCTGAGATTGGGATTTGACTGAGCACATGCATGACAGCAGCGCAGAGACATAGATAGAGAGAGAGGTGCGGTGGAAAAGAAAAAGCAGAAAGCAAAAGCAAGGAATAAACACCCCACCAGAATGATGTGATTTACTTTTCTTGTTTCTGAATGATGTAATTTATTTTCCGTATCTTTCGGAAACATCTGTATAAACCCCATCAGAGGGTAAAAAAAAAAAAAAAAACAGCAAAGCCCAAAATAAATGGGCTACCATGTTGTGAAGGGCGAAGGCCCATGAGCCCAAAATAGTACCAACCAGGTGACCAAAAGTACGCCCAGTACTCCAAAATTATTCGGCAACCTGCCACTATTACCACCAACCAGGTGATGAAATGTACAACCCGTACTCCAATATCATTTGGCAACTAGCCATTCATGCCACCAACCAGGTGATGAAATATACAACCCGTACTCTCCTTCATGCCACCAACCAGGTGATCAAAAGTACGCCCAGTACTCCAAATTATACATGAGCATTACTCATGTCATTCATACATAAACATTCATAAGCATCATTCATGAAAATCATACATAAACATTCATGACCATCATTCATATCAACATTCATGAGCATCACTCATGACAACATCCATAAGCATCACTCATGTCAATCAACATAAACATTCATGAGCATCACTCATGTCAATCAACTTCAAAAGCTTCATTTACAAAGCTCTAGCTTCAAAAGCTTCATTTACAGAGCTCTAACTCCAAAAGCTTCATTTACAGAGCTCTAGCTTCAAAAGCTTCATTTACAGAGCTTTAGCTTCAAAAGCTTCATTTACAAAAGCTCCAGCTTCGAAAGCTTCATTTACAGAGCTATAGCTTCAAAGCTTCACCTGCAAAGCTTCAGTGCAAGGTATACAAATATCGCCTCCGAACAACCACCATTTCGGCCCATACATGGATTCAATTTGAACAGACTCTATTGACCGAAGACTTGAGGGACTACACTATAGACCATATATTGGGCCTCAACTGGGCCTCATGAAAAATACTTGGGGGACTTAGCCCATCATTTATGTATTGAGGAGCAAACCCTTATTTTATAAAAGAGACTCCCTCACCTTCATTAGAGAGCAACGCCGCCAGCTGAGCAACTACCTCGCCGCGAGCATCACTCATAGCCCATCACTTATGTATTAAGGAGCGATCCCTTATTTTATAAAAGGGACTCCCTCACCTTCATAAGAGAGCAACGCCGCCAACTGAGCAACCGCCTAGCCGCGAGCATCACTCCTAACCCATCACTTATGTATTAAGGAGCGAGCCCTTATTCTATAAAAGGGACTCCCTCACCATCATTAGAGAGCATCAACTCTAGCCCATCATTCATGTATTGAGGAGTGAGCCCTTATTCTATAAAAGGGACTCCCTCACCGTCAACGTCACAAGCCGAGCCAACCAAAGCAACATAAACCACGAGCCGAGTAACCTCGCAACATGTGCTACTTCTAGTTGAACATCATTTTAGATTGAGTATCGCCTCATATCGAACATCAGCTCAAGACAACATCTAGTTGCTTCGGCCCACACATGGATTGAATTTTAAGTCTCCAGCCAAAAGACTCTCTTGACTGAAGACCTGGGGGACTACTGTTTATACCATATTTAGGGCCTCGTATTTAGATATCGTACAAATACTTAGGGACTTAAATGTAATTATGTGATAAAGGAAGGGGCAAATATATAATAAGTGATGAGTCCTTATTCTATAAAAGGACCTTTCACCCTCACAATTGGGGGAGGCCAATTCCAAGGCCCTCTCACCCCTTCTCAAAGCTCTCTCTCTCAGAGCTCTCTCTCTCTCAAATAAATACATAATCAGTGTGGACGTAGCCCAAACCTTGGGGTGAACCACGATACATCTTGTGTTATTTACGTTTCATGCAGATTCACGGTCGGATTTACGTTGTTCCAAGATCTCCGGTTTGTGCATCAACATATGCAAAATAAGATATCTACATAAAAAAATGTTATTATTTTATTCAATACTAGTTTACCTATTATTTGTACATATTATAATAAAATGTGCCCAATATATATGATGATACATACAAAATAAAATACCTACATAATGAAGAAATGTTATTTGATTCAAAATTAATTTACTTACAAAATAAAGCAATTTTATTTTATTCAAGATTAATTTACCTATTATTAATACATATATCTTATAATAATAAAATGTGCCAAATATATGTAATAATACATGGACAATAAATTACCTACAAAATAAAAGAATGTTATTTGATTCAATATTAATTTACCTACAAAATATATGTATTTGCTCATCATAAATTTAAACATAGGTAGATTAATTAGTTTAATATTTTGATCATATATGTAGTACTGTGTGTGTATATATATATATTGAGCGTATGGTAGTAATATATACATTTGAACGTATATATGAGTGTGTTATGTGATAACCCGTCCCTGAAATTACGTTTTTATTTATTTTAATCGAGGGAATTGACGAAAATGCCCTAGAGGCAAGAATTTTGACTTATGTTGATCATCGTTTAGAGGAACGCATAAGCGAAGACCGTTCACGAGTCCGGATTGTAACAGTATAATTACAGACATTTGAAATTAGTTATTTACATTTTAGATTATTAAATTATTTGAACTCCCACCTTGTGGGAAAGAAGCCAATCAGCTTCAAGGAGAGAAAATAGGGACCAATGAGAGGAGAGAGGAGCAACCAATCAGCCAATTAGGA